GGAGTGCGCAGATGCAGCGCCTCGACACCACCGCGGTCTCGGTATGAATTTTACGCCTGTGCAAATGTAGTCGCGCGTCGGGGGGCCCTTCGTCGACGCCGGCTTCGAGCCTTGAGCGCGGCCCGTTGTCTTCCAAAGGCAGCGCTTCCGAAGCGAAGCGCGGGCAAAAGTGCCGGGCGACCACGAAAGAATCAGCCGCGAGAGGGTCCGACAGTACGTCTCGCACGTGGCCGGCGAGACTCCGGGTCTGCTGCGCCGACGCTCGGGCGCGAAAGCGCCTGGTAGCTATCGCAGCTTTGGCCGCTTCCCGAGCTAAACTCGAGGCGTCCTCTAGGCAGCCCAACGGGATCCGGAGCATCCGTGGAGCCGTCCGGCCCTGGGCGCAATGCGTCATCAAAATTTTGCCGTGCTGCGCCGCGAAAGCGAAGGCGCCGAGAACCGGCTCGGTCGGCGGACACGGCTCCGCGCCGATGCCCTCGGCGACTTGGCCCCAAAGCCGCGCCGCAGACGCATGCTTATGCGCGCTGCGGCGCCGGCCGGCGAACTCGCGCCGTCGAAGCTGTTGCGTGGCAGTGAGCTGGGGCATGTTTCCCAGAGCGTGCGAAGCGCGCCCCCTTGGATTTCCTGGAGCGCCTCCGCGCCGCTTCGCCCGAGCAACTTGTAGCTCCTCCGGACTAACGCGGCCAAGAATCTGCATCGCGTCTGCAAGTTCTTTCGGCTCCACGAGAGTGCTGTTGGGGCGCGCCGCAGCCAGAGACCCGAGGGTCGCCAGCGCCGCCTGCGCCGTCGGCGCGACATCTTCTGCTCCATCTTGTGAGGCCTCGCCGACTTGGTTGGCGATCCCTGGGGATCGCCGCGCCGCCGGCGCCGGGGGAGGGCGCCACTTTGAAGACAAGACAGACAGGAACTCGCCGGACTGATGCCTGAGGCGCGGCCACGCATCGCGAAGTTCTTGCGAACTCATGTCGCAGAAATCACCCTCATGCACAGCCCCTCCTTCTGCGAGAGCAGCCAAAACTTCACCTGGCACTTCTGGGTGGCAACAGGGCGGCGCGCGCCGGAGCACCCGAGCGAGCCACTCCTCGAGAACGCCCGGCGCAGTCACGCGAGCGGCGAGGGGGCCCGCTACCTCGCCAGAGCCAGCCGCGTGACCAACACCTTCCCCCTGAATCCATCGCGCGCGTTTGCGATCGATGAACTCCAAAGCCATTTTGAGCCATCCTGACTACGGAGAAGCACCATGAAAGACGTCGCACTTGCAGGCGTAGACGTCGCAACAGATGATGGATGGGACTTGTTTTCTTTCCGGCTCGTTTTTGCCACTTCTGCTCGCGCCACCAACTCACTGCGCCCAAAAATCCACAGATGGCCAGGCCCAGTCGACGCGGGCAAACCCCGACGAGAGCAATTGCGCCATTTCAGACGACTTCTGTTGCTCTCTACTCGGCCACTTCGCCACGTTTAATTTCGAGGGCACGCGGCATGCACTTAGAAAATGGCCGCGGCTTGCGGCAGCAAACCACACACCAGCCACCATCTCATTCCAGTCACGCTGGCGGGAACAGCCGCGGAGCAATGCCCCGAACGCCACTGTGGAGTCGATGAACAAAACGATATCGAAACCAGCGGCGCTGTCGTGAAAATTTTCAAAGTGCCACAAAGCACACACTGCATCCGCCAGCTCCCAAGTGTGGATCTGCTGCTTGCGCGGGCACGCCCACTTCTTAAACCGGCCAGGCGCGGGCGCCGACGCGAAAAGCCTACGACTGCCAAGCGCGGCGACCCGAGCCCACGTGCCGTCCCCCGTCGCGTCTGTGTACACGACCAGGCGTGGCTTCACAACAGGCGACAACGGCACAGCCCTGCATGGCTGCGAATGGAGAAACCGCTGCCACCACACCAGCGCGCTGCGCAGGCGCGTAGGAAGTCGACTGCTCTTCCCCGCCAGATGTCGGAAAAGCGGCGCGAGATGCACGCAGGCGCCTTTCCCGAAAACGGCGGTGGATCCCCAGCTGAGCCTGCCCGCCAACTTTTGGGCGTGAGCGGGCGTCAGCTTCTGGCAATGCAGCACGGCAGAGATTTCCCCAAGCCACTTTGCACATTTGTCGCTGGGAACGACAACATTTAAACACTTCGCCGCCGCATCAACGGACACATGCAAACCAAGCACTACAAAACTGCAAGCAGCAGACGCCGTCGACAAGACGCGGAGCGAGCCTCGCCCCAACGCACCACGGGAAGGCACGCCGCACCGCAGGAGTGGCAGACCGACCCGGGCAAGCTCCCCTGCGAGGCCGCCGACCAGCAGAGGAGCTACAGGGCTCCCCTTGGGAGCATTGGCCGACACTTGCTATCCCGCTCGGACCCGGGCGGCGACGTGGGGGCGGAAGAGCCGAGAGGGAGACGACTCCTCGAATCGCCGAATGGGGACGAACGCGGCCTATGAGAATTTTCCTCCCCAGAACCCAAGGTTAGGTTATATGCTATCCAGGAGGAGGAGGAGGAGGAGGAGGAGGAGGAGGACGAGGACGAGGAGGAGGAGGAGGAGGAGGAGGAGGAGGAGGAGGAGGACGACGAAACAGACGAAGCGGAGGAGGAGGACCGTGACAGCGACGAGGCGCGCGGTTTCTCGGCCCCTCGCGGGCGCCCGCCGAGGAGGCGCCGCCTACCGCAGCAGCCCGGCGATCGCCTCGGCGGCGGAAGGGCGCCGCGGGCCGCTGGGCGGCTCCTCGACGGGGCGCCGCCACTCGTCGTCCTCGTCGTCGTGCTCCTGCCTCCTCGTCGTTGTCGTCTTCCGCGCCTCGTCCTCGTCCTGGTCCTCGTCCTCGTCCTCCTCCTCCTCCTCCCTCCTCCTCCTCCTCTTTCTCCTCCTCCTCCTCCTCCTCCTCCTCCTCGTACCGAGAAGCAGGAAATTGGCAGAGGCCCTGGTCACTATTGCTGCCGGTGGTGCTTGGCCTCGCGAGCGGCGCACAGCTGCATGCACCAAGTTTGAGCTCAGCAGTACGTGCCCCAGGATGCGGTTGAGACTTTTTTGCGCCGAAGCTGGACGCGCAGTAAGAGTGCTGGATCGCAGGCTTTCGCCAACTCTGAAGATCTGGTACTACAGGCGATGGTTCGTCTAAGGTTGACTCCGCCTACTGGCTCTGTGGACTTATTCCCAAGGCTTTGACGGTCACCCCCCTTCATCGCCACACCATTACGCGCCTCCCAATCTACACCGTGCAGGAACTGTCCGGTTCGGAGGGGGCGGGGGCAACGAAGAAGGACAGAAAAGAACAATGGAGAAGGAGGAGATATGACACTGCGTCCGCGTATCCGGAGACCAAGCCCGGGCCGGGTGGCCGAAACCAGACCCCACCACAGAACTGCACCGCCGCCCCGGGGCAGCGCTGACTCGTTTGGTCGCGCTGCGAGCCCTCGAGCCGCCCCCTCGGAAAGATGGCCGCCGCTCCGACCCAGGCCGCGACGCGCGACGCGCCAGTGTCTTCGCGCTCCGGCGGGAGAGCCACTGACGGCCGGAAGGGCAACGGGGGAAGGGCAGGGAGCCTCAGGGCGTCTCCGTGGGGCGCGGGCCAGCTCGCGGAGCAGGGCGGGCGTGGTGTCCCCACATGGCACCGCATCGCAGAGCACCTCGTGGCGGCTCAGCTGCCCCGATGCGCAACACGCAGCACGCAGCGTGGTGGCATGGAGCTCACCGCGCAGAACACGTAGGTCTGGCGCGGTACGTTCGCCAAAAGGTGTGCCAACACGTTGAGCCAACACGCAGCCTGTGAACACGGACGTTTTGAACACCATGCGCGTTGCGTTTCAAAACGGATGTATCAGGGCAGCTAAGTCCCATTCGCCACCGCATCGCAGGCACCTCGTGGCGGGCGCTGGAGATGCAACTTGGCACGCAGGGGCTACATCATCCCCAGAGCCCCGACGTAGTGCTTTTTTTCACAGCGTAGAGCCCCGAAGTCTCGACCTATTCCCCAACGGCGAAAAAAAAGGTCATGCGTAGTCAACGTCACCAACCCAGCATGAAGAATTTCGTCAGAATGTCGCTCCAATCTTGAAAAGGTCACTGGCCATATTCCGTGTTGTAGACATGCTCTCGCGATGTCTGCCCTTCACGGAGTCTTGCTCGAGGTTGTGTGGTAGCAAAGTACCAGGTGCCCATGCCATCTTGTGCGAAACCAGTGAGTGGAACTCAGCAGGTGGTCATGACCTTGGCCATCGCGTAGGGGCTCAGAATTGCTAGGTCTTGCTGGGCAGCGAGAGCGACTGCTGCCATTGCTCGCCGTACTCGCACGCACTGGTCTTTTGGGTATAGCTGGTAATTTCAGGCTTCAGCGTCGCCGTCTACGTCTCGCTTAGCTGCCATATCGTCCACTGCCACTGCCCCCCTGCCTGGGACGCGCGGGTCCCAGCGCTATAGCTAATCATGTCGGGCTCCAACTTCGCCTCACGCATTTCGCTGATCAACGCTAGAGCCCGTTGCCACTGTCCGCCGCTTTCGCACGCGCTGATCCCAGCGTTGTAGGTAACGAGTGTGTACCCGTGGAACAAATCCGCAGGTGCCCTGGCAGGGGAACGCGGCGGGGCCATCTCTGTGCTATCGTGGGTCTTGGGCGCCTCTTGGGGCTTTCCCGCAGCTGTCTTGCAGCTCTCCTGGGCCGTCTTGCAGCCTCAGCCTTGCATGAGGCTCTAGGAGCACCCAGAGAAACTCGCCAATTGCTCCAAGAGTGGCTCGAGAGGGCCCGAAGACGGTCCTAAGAGGGCCCTCTGAAAGCACCCGACGGATACTACAACAGGGCGGTGCGTTGTAGTATCCGCTCGGGCATGTCCCCCTAAAAGCGGATTTCGGGAACAAATCAAAATTAACAAACAAACATTCAAAAATAGTGAAACAATAACCGACAATCGTCCCCAGACTATTTTTACAATTTTACAATTATTGAAAATTCCTCCTGCAGAGGGACATGCCCGACTTAAAACTATAGCCTGATGACACTGGGCTCCAATTTCGCCTCCCGCATCTCTCGAACCAGCAACAGAGCCTGCCTCCACTGCATGCCTTTGCCGCACGCGCTGATCACAGCATTGTGGCAGAACGCGTCGGACTCCAGCTTCACCTCCCGCATCTCGCTGAGCAGCGAAAGAGCCTGCGTCCACTGATTCACTTCCTCGCATGCGCTGATACCAACGTGGTAACTGAGAACGTCGGATTCCAGCTTCGCCTCCCACATCTCGTGCGACAGCCACAAGGCTCGCTGCCACTGCCCACCTCTCCGGCACGCGCTGATCCCAGCAGTGTAGCTGATGACGTTGGGCTCCAAATCCATCTCCAACGCCTCGCTGAGCAGCGTTAAAGACCACCACCACTGCCCAAGCTTCTCGCACGCGCTGATCCCGGCACTGTAGCTGACGACCGTGGGCTCCAATCCAACCTCCCACATCTCGCGGAGCAGCGACAGAGCCTTCTGCCACTGCAATCCTTTCTCGCACGCGCTGATGCAGGCGTTGTAACCGATGACGTCGGGCTTCAACTTCACCTCCCACATCTCGCTGAGCAGCGCCAGGGCCTGCTGCCACTGTTTCTCTTTCTCGCATGCGCTGGCCCCAGCGTTGTAGCTGACTACATCGGGCGTCAACTTCGCCTCCCACATCTCGCTGATGAGTGCCAGGGCCAGTTGCCACTGCCCGCCTTTCTCGCACGCGCTGATGCCAGCGCTATAGCTGATGATGTCGGGCTCTATTTCTGCCTCCAGCATCTCGCTTTGCAGCGCCAGAGCTCGCTGCCACTGCTCGCCTTTCTCGCATGCGCTGGTCGCAGCGTTGTAGCTGACTACGTTGGGCGTCAACTTCACCTCCCACATCTCCCTGATCAGCGCCAGAGCCCGTTGCCACTGCTCGCATTTCTCGCACGCGCTGATCCCAGCGTTGTAGCTTAGTGTGAAGGACCTGTGGACGTTGACGTCCAAGACAGATTTCTCGCACGCTGGAGCGAAGATCGAATGCAGGCTTCCTTGCTTGCGTGCTGCCCAGCGCGCGTGGGCGCTTGACTAGTGGCGTGACAGATTTCTCAAGTTCTCTGTCCGCATGATGAACGCCTTGCCTGATATCATGCTTGCCTGCGCATTGACCTCAACACTTGTTCGTCCGCTCGCTGCCATGTGCTACTGCTTACAACTTGCTGATGCTATTGACGCTGCTCCATGCTTCTTAGTACGTGCTGCTGCTTGCTATTGCTTGTTGCTGCTGCTACCTGCTGCTTGGTGCTGATGTTGCTGATGCGTGCTGCCACAGCTTGCTGCTGCTTGCCGCTGCTGCTTTCTGCTGCAAGCTGCTGGTGCTTGCTTGTGCAAGTTGCCAACTGACCTGCCTGTGTGCTGTCCTGCTTGCGTGGTTGCCACCATGCCAGTCTGACAACTTGCTTACCTGCGTGACTGCTCGTGCGCTGGTCTGCTTGCGAAATGTATTGCTTGCTTATATGTTCGGTGAGCCGCTCGATACCACGTTCTGCTGCCTGCTGCTGTTCGCTGGCTCTTGCTGTTACTGCCTGCTACTTGCTGGTGCGTATTGCTACTTGCTACGGTTTGGTACTGCAGCTTGCCATTGTTTGGTGCTGCTTGTTGCTGCTGTTATTGATGATGCTTGATACTTCCTGCTGATTGGTGCTGACGATGTGAGATCGTGCTGCTGCTGCTGCCGCTATTAATTTCTGCTGCTTACTGCTGCAATCTGCTGCTCCATACGACTTATGATGCTGATAGCTCTGGCTGTCGCCTCTGGCTCTGCTGCTGTTGGATATGGGGGCCGTGCCGGGGTTCTCTTGGGATGATTTGGGTGCGTCTCGAGGCCCTCTTGGGGCTGCGTTGGGCCACCTGGGGGCCCTTTTGAGGCTTCCCTGGCCGGTGTGGCACCCTTTGGGGCCTCTCCCTTGTGTCGTGCGCTCTTCGGGAGCTCTCTGGGCCCGTGCCAGGGCCCTCTTGGGACCGCGACGGACAATCTCGGGAGCTTCATAAGGCGCCCTGGGGTATTCTTAGGGCCCTCTTGGGGCCGCCCAGGCGCTGTCTTCGCGGCGCGCCGTGTCACTCTGAGCCTGCGTGTGGCAGTGCCATGGAAAGGCGTGGCCCAAGAGCTCGAGGATCAATACCGTCAAGCAGCTCGCTGGCGTTGGACGACTTGTGTTGTCTGCCGCCTCTTCTGGGGCTAAGCCCGAGACGAGCGACCCTGGGTAATGCGGGATGACGAATAATAACAAAAATGGGAGAGAACGATTATACAAATAGTTTTCTGCTATTTCTGCACAATGTTCTGACTGGAGGAGAACGATTACAAAAAGAATAGTTTTCCAGCCCGCGGCCAATTTTTTCTAATCGTCATCCCGGGCGCCGCCGCGTGAACACGACCCCCGGTCATTTTTTAATCGTTATCCTCCATTAAGACTGACCTTTGGTGCGCGGCTTCTTGGGGGCCGCGGGGGGGGCCAAACACAAGCGCGCACGACCCCCCCACCGCGTCGCGTCCGGCAAAGCGGGGGACCCCAGGGGGCCCGCACCAAAGGTCACTCCGTGGCGAGGGGGGGTCGCTCTCACTCGAGGCTTCTGGGGGCCTCTCCGTGAAGCTCTGGAGCTCGCCGCGCCCCGGCAGAGGAGCCCCGAGGAGCCCCCTGGGAAGCCTCTGGGCCTCCAGCTCGGCGCCGCCCTCCGAAAGCCGAGTCGCCGAGGCGGCGCGCTCTCCGGGGCCGTGCTGTCTCCGTCTGTTACCAGCCTGGAGCATATCCCTATCCCTATGCTGGGCACCTCCTCATCACGATGCCAATCTTAGGGATTCCCTTATTTTTTGAGGGCGAATCCCTAAGATTGTCATCGCCTTTTGGCGTGTCAATCTTAGGGATATGGATAAGTTCGAGGCTGGTAAGTCTGGAATTTGGCTGGACCGTTCGGGCACGCACGGCGCCAGGGAGTGCACACACCGTGACCTGATGGCGCTGGGCGGCAGTACCGCCCAAGAGGCCTCCAACACATCCGAGGAAGTCCCCAGGACGGCTCCAAGAGGGAGCCCAGACGGGGGACCCGAACGGACATTCGGATCCCTCGGCCTGAGAAGCTCTCAGGAAGCCCCCAGAGGCCCCTGTGAAGACCCCCAACAGGCCCCAAGAGGCTCCCAAGATACCGCCAGGAAGCCCCAAATGGCCCCCACGAGGCTCCCAGGAGGCCCCAAAACTACCCCCAAGAGGCCCCCGAGAGCGCTCGTTGTCGTCGTCGTCGTCGTCGTCGTCATTCAGGGTCGGCGGCACCGGCCGTAAGGCCTTCGCAATATACCTTTCTTGGTAGTATACCGTTTCCCGAGTCGTGCGGCCAGAAAGCGCCCGCCGCAGCGCATATGCTATAAGATCTCTAGGCGGGCGCGTCGCCCCTGGGAGGGCGACGCACAGATAGTATTAGTGTGGTGGCTCGCCGACGACTATAGCCTGACGACACTGGGCTCCAATTTCGCCTTCCACGTCTCGCGGAGCAGCGACAGAGCCTTCTGCCACTGCAATCCTTTTTCGCACGCGCTGATGCAGGCGTTGCAACCGATGACGTCGGGCTTCAACTTCACCTCCCACATCTCTGTGAGCAGTGCCAGAGCCTCCTGCCATTGCTTGCCTTTTGCGCATGCGCTGATGCCAGAATTGTAACTGAATGCGTCGGGATCCAACTTCGCCTCCCACATTTCGCTGAGAAGCGCAGAAACCCGCTGCCACTGCTCGCATTTCGCGCACGCGCTGATCAGAGCGCTGAAGCTGATAACGTCGGCCTCCAAACTCGCCACTATCATCTCGCGGAGCAGTGCAAGAGCCCGTTGCCACTGCTCGCCCTTCCCGCACGCGCTGAAACCAGTATTGTAACTGACTATAGCTGACGCGTGGGCAACGTCCAATACATCTGTAGGAACTGACATGTGATGGTGGGCATGCTGCCGAAAAGGCTACAATGGTAGCGTTGGATCCGAAACTCGCACTCCGCGCCTGGTGCTGCGTGCTGCTGCATGCTGCCGCTGCTGCGTGCTGTTGGTAAGTGTTGCAGCTGCTGCGTGCTGCTGCTGCTGCTCGTGCCAGCAGCGTGCTGCTCTGAGGGCCACTTCTGCTTGGTGCGTGCTGCCGCCCGCTGCTTGCTGCTTGCTGCTGCTGCTGCTGCTGCTGCTGCTGCTGCCGTGTGCTGCCGCCGCTGCCGCCTCTGCTCCGTACCACGCGCTGCTGCCGATCGCTGCGGCTGCTTGATGCCGCAGGGTGCTGTTTCTCGCTGCTTCAGCTTGCCGACGCCAGAGAGGATCGAGGAGTCAGGGCCGAGGAGGTCGAGGAGGGAGGCGGGAGGAGCGAGGGGCGACCAGCGAAGAGCGAGAAGGGAGGAGCGACGGCCGAGGAGAGAGAGGGGCGAGAAGGGAGGAGGGAGAGCCGAGGAGGGCGGCGGCGGGAGTGCGGGGTGACCTCTCTGGGGGTCTCGCGTGGCCTCGTGCGGGGAGGCTTCTCGGGAGATCTCTCGGGGGCCTCTTGGGGGTGCCGTGGGGCCTAATTTGAAGTTTCTTCGGCTCACATTGGGCCCTTCCGAGCCCCCTGGAGCTATTAGGGCGGGCCTTGGGTTCACTGGGAGCTGCATTCGGGGAGTCGGGGGGTATTCGGGGGGATCCTTGAGACGCTATCTTGGTACGTTCCTGGGCCGCTTTGGGCCCGTGTTGGGGCCATCTTGGCGGCCTCTTGGGTCGTCTTGGAGCCGTGTTGGGCTGTCTGGTGGCTCTCTTGGAAGCCTTTCGGGCCCTCGTGCCCTCGTGGGGCGATGTGGGGGAGTCTCTGGGACCCTCGGGGGCGGTGTGAGGCCCAGACCAGCGAGCACACGAACAGTTCACGGAAAGGCGCAGAAAGAATCAACTGTTTTTGGTGCTGGAGGCTCTCCCGGGGGATTTCTCTGAGCCGTCTCGGGGCACTTTGGCGCCCTTTGGGGCCGTCGGGAGTCCATTGTGGGTCACCTTGGGGTGATCTTGGAGCCCTGTGGGGCCGTCTTGGAGCCCTCTCTTGGGGGCCTCCTGGGCCGCTTTGGAGCGCCCCAAAAGGCGCCCCGGAGCGCGCCGGGCAGATTTCCACCGAGTCGGTGCAGGGCCTTTCCTGCACGCGCGTGGGCCTGCAGTCTCGGAATGATGACGTCGGGCTCCAACTTCACCTCCCGCATCTCCCGGAGCAGCGCCAGAGCCTGCTGCCACTGCTCGTCCTTCTCGCATGCGCTGATCACAGTGTTGCAGCTGATGATGTCGGGCTCCAATGCCATCTCCGACATACTTTTGAGCAGCGACAGAGCCTGGTGCCACTGCTCGCCCTTCGCACATGCGCTGATCGCACAGTTGTAGCTAATGACGCTGGGCTTACAATGCACCTCCCACATCTCCTTGATCAGCGCCAACGCCGGCTGCCACTGCTCCCCTTTCGCACAAGCGCTGATCCCAGCAATGTAGCTGACTGGGGCTACGAAAGCTGCGCCGGCAAGAGGGTGAACGGCAGGAACTCCCCAGGGGAAACAAATTACCTCGAACCCCGACGTGATTGTTTTTCGGGCAGCCTTTTGCAAGGCCCACGAGGTGTGGCGACTTGTCCACGGGAAGGCTAAAATAGATGCCGTCGAACAAGAAAGCGGAGCAAAGTACAATTCGTTGCATGAGAACGGCATCAAAGTGTGGCGACTTGTCCGGCGGAGGCCTCAGAGGAGAGCCCTTCTCTTCCTGCCTCTCTGCCGCCTGCCCCGACATTGTGCATGTACGGGCAGTACATGCACAGGGCCGGGCCGGGCGAGCTCGGAGTGTAGCATTGGAGGTCGGCACGTGCATGTGACGGATCCACCGACTCCAAGATTGAGTGCAAGGCAACGATGAACCGTACTTAATGAGATCCTATGTGCGAAATGTGTTGCTGAAGCTGCTCTGCTGATGCTTATGATCGCAACTGCTGCTGCTTGCTGCTGCTGGATCCTCCTCCTCCTCCTCGTTCTCCTCCTCCTCCTCCTCCTCCTCCTCCTCCTCCTCCTCCTTCTCCTCCTCCTCCTCCTCCTCCTCCTCCTCCTCCTCCTCCTCCTCCCCCCCCTCATCCTCCTCCTCTGTCGCTCGATCGGACTGTCCAAAACTGCTGGATCCGCTCCTCGCCTCTCGTTCGAAGCAATGTTAAACCCACTGGGGGCCTCCTGGGGACCGTTTGGGGGCCTCTTGGGGGTTCGTTTCTGCTCCCCGGGGGGGCTTTGTGGCCCTTTTGGGCCGTCTTGGGTGCCTCTGGAGCCGGTCTTGGGGCCGTTTGGGGTCGTCTTGGCTACCTCTTTGGCCGTCGTTGGGACCGTTTGGGGCCGTCTTGGGTCGTCCTTGGGCCGTCATAGGGCGGTCCTGGGCTGTCTGGGGTCGCTCTTGGGGCTGTCTTGGGTGCCTCTTGGGCCCTCTTGGGCGACTGCTGGGCCGTCGTGGAACCGTCTTGCGCACTCTCGGTGTTCTTGGGGGCCTGTTGGGCCGTCGTGGAGCGATCTGACTGGGTCCTGGAACCGTCTGGGGCCGTTCCTGACCCAACATGGCGAGAGCGTGAAAATCCTTCAGAACCCATAGGGAATCTATGATTTTGGCCGCCAGGGGCCGCCAGTGGGGTTCGCTGGGGGTCCTCTGGGGCAGTCGGGGCGGCCTCTGGAGCGTCTCCGAACCATCTTGGGGCCGTCGGGGCGCCTTCTTGAGCGTCTCGGGCGGGACTGGGGTCTTCGGAGCGCCGTCTTGAGCGGCCCAGAGCGGCCGTGAGCAACTCGATGCACAGACCGTTCTCTCACGCACACGTCCATGCATTGTAAAGGTAATGACGTTGGGTTCCAGCTTCGCCTCCCGCATCTCGCCCAGCAGCGCCAGCGCCCGCTGCCACTTCTCGGCCTTCTCACACGCGCTAATCCCAGTGCTGTAGCTGACTAGGGCTGACCCGCGGCCTTCTGGCTGCGGAATCTGCCCGCCATTGCGCGGACGTGGAAGTTGAGCGTCTCCGGGGCCTCGCAGGTGAGGGGAGGTTGGAGGGGACGGCGTGGATGGAGGAGGTGGCCGCTGGAGGGGGAGGTGGGCGAGGAATGCAGGCAAGTAGCAAGTAGGCCTGAAAGCAGAAACGCGATGGTAGAGGCGGTGTCAGTGGAAGCACACCCATGCAAGCATGACATGGTGTGGACAGAAGCTGTTTCTCACGCCGCAGTATGTGTTCATCATAGCTTCTGCGGGGAGGGTAGCCGTGATAACTGTCCCTGCTCTTCGCCAGGGCCGAATGATAATCTTATCTGGTAGTGTGGTGACAAGGGGGCCGGTTGGCGCGGCCTAAGAGGCCCGCAAGAGGGCGGCGAGACGGCCCGTCCAAAGGCTCCTCAAGCGGCCCTAGCGGGCCCCACGAACTCCCTATGAGTCGGGCCCCAGTGCGAGGACACGAAGCGGCCTTTCGAGCGCACCGCCCCAATACGTCCCCCGAAGGCGCAGAGATGGCGCCCAGAGGGTTCAAGAAGCCCCTCAGACGACGCTGGAAGTTCGACGCTCCCCAAGAGAGAAGGATCCAAGGCCTCTTGGGGGCCGTTTAGAGGCCTCTTTTCGTCCTCCTGTGGTCTCTCGGGGCCCTCTTGGGCCGTCTTGAGTATCTCTGGGGCTGTCTTGGGGCGATGTGGGGCCGTCTCGGGCGCCTCTCGGACCATCTTGAGGCCGTCTTGGGGCCATCTTGGGCCGATCTTGGGCGCTCTTGGGGCTGTCTTGGATGTTTCTTGGGCTGTCTCGGACGCTTCTGGAGCCGTCCGGGGGCCATTTTGGGTGGGGCGATCTGGGGGCCTGTACAGTCGTCTGGGAGACTGTGCAAATGGAAAGGCTTGGAGACGGGGCGGTGGGGGCCTGCACAGTCGTCTTGGAGACGGGGCGCTGGGGCCGTCTAGGGCTCTCATGAACTGCTTTTGGGGCTGTCTTGGGTGCGTCTTGGGCCGTCTGTGGGGCTTTGGGGGGGCCCTCCTGGGGGCCTCTGAGCGCGTCTTCGGGCGAGCCGGGGGCCTGAGTAGCCGTCTTGGGCGCTGCGAGGACGAACAAAAACATATATAGTGAACATGTGAGTTTCCCGTCGGGGATGGGACGATTTTGGCTTCTTGGGGCTCTCCTGGAGGCCCTCCTGAGCCATCCTGGGAGCCTCCTGGCCTTGGGGGCCTCTGAGGCTGTCCTGGGGCTCCCAGGGGTGCTCCGAGGCTGTCTTGGGTGCGTCTTGGGCAGTCTCGGGTGCCTCTGGAGCCGCTCCGGGGCCGTGTGGGGCCGTTAGGGGGCCCTGTATAGAAGATATAATGTGCGTTTCCCGTCGGGAATGGGACGATTTTGGCCTCTTGGGGCTCTCCTGGAGGCCCTCCTGGGCCATCTTGGGAGCCTCCTGGCCTGCCTTTGGAGCCTCTGGGGCTCTGAGGCCGTCTTGGCGCCCCCTGGAGCCTCTCGGAGCCGTCCCGTGGGCTATTATGAACTGCTCTTAGGGCTGTCTTGGGTGCATCTTGGGCCGTCTGGGGCGCCTCTGGAGCCGTCCCGGGGCCGTATGGGGCCGTTTTGGGGCGCTCCTGGGGCCTCTAGGCGCGTCTTGGGGCGAGCTGGGGGCCTGTATAGCCGTCTTGGGCGCTGCAAGGGCGAAAAACAAGATATAGTGAACATGTGCGTTTCCCGCAGGGAATGTGACGATTTTGGCTTTCCTGGAGGCCCTCCTGGGCCATCTTGGGAGCCTCCTGGCCTGCCTTGGGCGCCCCGGAGGGCCCAGGGGGCCACTCAAGACAGAGGACCTTCTCGCGCACGTGCGGGTTCCTGCACTGTAGAAGAGATGACGTCGGGCTTCAGCTTTGCCTCCCACATCTCGCTCAGCAGCGCCAGCGCCCGCTGCCACTGCTCGCCCTTCTGGCACGCGCTGATCCCAGCATTGTAGCTGATGGCGTTGGGCTCCAGCTTCGCCTCCCGCATCTCGCTCAGCAGCGTCAGCGCCCACTGCCACTGCTCTCCCTTCCCACACGCGCTGATCCCCGCGTTGAAGCTGATGACGTCGGGCTCCAGCTTCGCCTCCCTCATCTGGCTCAGCAGAACCAGGGCCCGCTGCCACTGCGTGCCCTTCTCGCACGCGCTGATCCCAGCGCCGTAGCTCACGAGGGGGACGACGGCGACGACGGCGACGACGGGGGGACACGGAACGGCAGGACTGAGCGGCGAGATGTCCGCCGTCCTCGTTGAACTGGTCGGAGACCCACTCCTTCCACTGGCCCTGGCTCATGAGGCTCAGGAGCTTCGGCGTCGCGCGGCTGTGAGGCCGTCATGGGGGTGCCCTGTGGCCGCCCTGGAGGCTTTCTGCCTTGGTCTGGGGCCCTCATGGGACCCTGGGGGGCTGTTGTGGGGCTCCTGCGGTCGGCTGTAAGGGGGCCGAGGCCGTCTACCTTGGGGCTCGCTTAGGGCCTCCTGCCCGGGTCTGGGGCCCACACGCGGCCGTGGGGGGCTGCCATGGGGCTCCTGCGGTCGGCTGCCGGGGGGCCGAGGCCGTGCGGGAGCCCGCTTGGAACCGTCCTGGGGCTGTCTCGGGGGGGCCCATGAGGCTCTGCGGGCCCGTCTTGGCGCTCTCTTGAGGCGTCTGTGGGCTGTCTGAGCCGTCCAAGAAGCGATGGTGGAAGCGTCTCGGGCGAGACTGACACCATTTCGGAGCTCCCAGGAGCCGTCTGGAGCTGCTCTGGGCCATCTGGGGCGTCTCCTGGCCCGACATGAAAACCTCGAACGCCTAACAAAAACAACAACGAACATTTATGATTTTTAGCCGATCGGGCCGTCATAGGGGGTGCTCTGCGGCCGTCTTGGAGGTCTATTGCTGGTCCTGGGGCCCTCGGGGATGTCTCGGGGGCAACTTTGGGCCTTGGTGGGACTCTTCGTACAACTTTCTGGCGCTCTCTTGAGCGTCCAAAGGCCATCTTGGGCGGTCTATGGCCGTCCCGGTAGCGCCAGCGACCATCGAGGCCCGCCCGCTAGGCGCGGGGGCAGCCCCGGGCCACTCTGTCCGAGCTCGCACGCGCTGATCCCGGTATTGTAATGTAGACAACGTTGGGATCCAACTTCGCCTTGCAGATCTCGCTGAGCAGCTCAACGGCTCGCTGCCACTGCTCGCCCTTCGCACATGCGCTGATCGCAGAGTTGTAGCTGACTAGTGTGAAGCCGTGGATAAAATCCACGGTGTGCTGAACCTGGGACTCGCGCACCATGGGTGAACAGCTCGTAGACGTTGCACAGCTCGGGCGTCCCTGGGGCCGTGTCGGGGGCATGCTGGGCCCTCATGCGAGCCTGTCTGGGGCGCCTTGACGGCCTCTTGCGGCCGTTCGCTGTCCCCCCAGAGCCTCTTCCGGGGGACAGCCTGGGAAGCTTACTGTGCGTGCGTGCTGCGAAGTTGCTGTCAGAGAGGTCCCGTGAGAGGACGCAAGGGGGCCCCCGACGGATGCTACCACAGGGGGGGGTGCGTTGTAGCATCCGTCGGGGCTCGCTCAGGAAGGCCCGAAGACGGCCGACGACAGGGCCGAGAAGGGGCTCCGTGTGGCCCTCCAGGGAGCACCTGACGGAAGCTACAAGAGGGGGGCCCGTGGTAGTATCCGTCGGGTGTCCCCTCCGTCCTCTCACGGGAGCTTTCTCGAGCTTCCTCCTGCCCTCTTGACTACCTACCAAACCACCCCAACCCAACCCGAAGACCCGACTTTGACCCGAATTTCGGGTTTGGGGGGTACGGGTTCCAAGTGTTTTTTCGATGTTCCCCGACCCCCCCCACTGGAAATGGAGGGCAAATCGTGGCCTTCGGGCTGGGTTGGGGTGGTTTGGTGGGCGGTGACCTCTTGCGCAGCTCCTGGTGCGTCTTGGGTGGCCACATGAAGCTCCAAGAAGCCGTCGGGGGCCTGCGTTGGGCCGGCTTTGGGGGCCCTCTTGTTACCAGCTTCGAACGTATCCCTATCCCTAAGATTGACACGCCAAAGGGCGATGACTATCTTAGGGATTCGCCCTCAAAAAATAAGGGAATCCCTAAAATTGGCATCGTGATGAGGAGATGCCCAGCATAGGGATAGGGATATGTTCCAGGCTGGAAATATTGTGCCGTCTTGTTCTTGCGATCGCCGGGGCTCTCCGGAGCCGTCCGAGAGCGGCGGGGCGCTCCGGCCGCTCGGGGGCACCTCGCGGCCTCCTCCCCCATGTCGCACGCGCAGTGACCAGGACTGCAGTACGGACCAGGGCCGACCCGTGGACGGCGTCCACTTGCGGGGGGAGCAGGTGATGATGCCGCCAGGGTCCATTCGATAAGATCGGGCCCCATGCTCGCGTTTTTTCCACGTCTCGCGGATAAAGCGAGAGCGCCCAGGTGGTCACGGGCGTCGAGTCCAAGACAAACTCTGGGCCGACGCTCGCTGCTGCCCCGAGGACGAGATCGAACGCGGGAGCGGCATGATGAAACATGTCCGCGGCCGGGGCTCCTCCTCCTCCTCCTCCTCCTCCTCCTCCCTCCTCCTCCTCCTGCTCCTCCTCCTCTTCCTCCTCCTCCTCCTGCTCCTCCTCCTCCTCCTCCTCCTCCTCCCCCTCCTCCTCGGCCTCGGCCTCGGCGCCCACCCCCTCTGGGACGCGGACAGCATTCCGCACGGACTGCGCCGGCAAGGGTGCGAAGGCCGCCGAGCGCCCGAGCTCGGGGCCGCGAAAAAAGTCAAGCGCGCCACCCCTGCGTTACATAACGTGCTCGTTTCTTCGAGTTACGCTACAGTCGAGGCGTTGACCTAAGGAACCCTAGATAAGGAACGAGTCCCCTTTTTCCCATAAGTTCAACCTCAATTTCCCATGGAAAACCTGAGGAAAACCCGAGGCAAACTTTGAAACAATCAAGGAACACCGAGCCCCTCCGCAACGAAAAGGGT